TACGCTAGCAGGGTACTATCAAAAACAGAAACGAATTACTCAACGACAAAAAGAGAAGCCTTGGCTGTGGTGCAAGCGGTGAAATGGTTCAAACCCTACATCTGGGGGGTAAAATTTGTCCTTCGCACCGACCACTCCAGCCTTCAATGGCTCTTTAGGCAGAAGGAATCCGATGGAATGACCTTCCGAATGCAACAGCAACTTCAAGAGTTTGACTTCAATGTAGTCCACAGAGCTGGGGCTAAACATGGAAATGCGGATGGCCTTTCCAGGATGCTAGAAGAAGGGCCCGACTGGATGCCAGGGGAGAAGGAGAAGGCATTCGGGTCTTGCCCAGAGCCTATGTCTCTCGAATTGGCCTTACAGAAAGCAAAGCAGCACCAAGTCGAAACTGTCACAATGATCAGCGAGACCCAGGAAGAGGACGAGGAAGAAATGATTACCTGGGAACGGACGCCCTCTGAAATATCGACTCTGCAAAGAGAGGATGACGCGATGTCTCAAGTGTTCTATTGGGCGGAGTCGGGAGGCGACGCGGGTGATATGCCATCTCTGGGGACAAACCTCATTCCCAAAGAGCAGGCGATACAGTACGGACCCGAGGCCCTAGCTTACTGGTCTAGATGGAACGAACTAAGTATCCGAGGGGGGATGCTTTATAAAAAATGGTTCCCAAGGGATGACTTGCGTCCGGTATTGCAGACAGTTGTTCCTGCAACCGGGCGGAAGGAGATCCTCAACCAGCTGCACTCCTCGCAGATTAGCGGCGGACACTTTGCAGTTGAAAAGACCCTCGCTCGAATTCGTCAACGGTTCTGGTGGCCCACTATGAGGACAGACGTGGAGAAGAAGATACAATGGTGCCTCACTTGTGCAGCGCGGAGCACAGGAGGAAAAAAGAGGGTCGCTGGGCTTGTCCCGTTTAAAGTGGGGATCCGATTCAATACAATGGCGGCGGACATCCTAGGGCCCGTGACGTTGGCAGCAAAGTCTCGTGCGAAGCACATCTTAGTGATGACGGACTTGTTCACGAAGTATGCAATTGCCGTCCCACTTGTATCCACGGATTCGGCAGAGGTGGCCCGGGAGATAGTCGAGAACTGGGTACTCAAGTTTGGGGCACCTAACATTCTGCATACCGATCAAGGGAAGAACTTTGGGAGTAATCTCATCCTCGAAATGTGCCGACTGCTGGGGATCGATAAATCCCGCACTTCCCCGTACCACCTCCAAGGCAATGGACAGGTAGAACGTCATAATAGGGTAATCGCGGATGTCATTTCAAAGTACTGCGCGGACAACCCCCGGACATGGGATACAGTATTGCCCTACTTGAATTTCGTCTATAATACTACCGTCCACCGAACAACCGGTGCGACCCCTTTCAATCTAGTACATGGACAGGAATGCCAGTACCCAATCGACCTGTTCTACCCAAAACCCTACGACGAAGTTCCGACACAGGATGGGTTTGTAGAATGGCTCGACGAGCAATTCCGAGACGCCCATAGCAGCGCTCGAGAGCTACTGGGAACTAATCAGCGACGCCAGAAGGATCAATATCGGAAAAGAGTTCATGGAGAACCGTACGCGACGGGAGACAAAGTGTGGGTTTGGGCGAAAGAGAAGATAAAGTCGAAGAAGTTCTTCCTACCATGGGATGGGCCCTATGTGGTCTTGGCCAAAGTCTCTGAAGTGAATTACAAGGTGGCCAAACCCTCCACCCCCGCAAAGACCCGGTATTTGCATTTTAACATGTTGAAGCCGTATGTAGAGGAGAACACGCAATCCAACGAGGCTTCCCACCCTAAGCGTCCGACCCCTTCACGGTCGGTCAGATTCTTTGACGACCCCCCTGAAATTAGAAACGACGAGTTGGAAATGGCTATTGGGGAGACCCACGAGTTAAGACCATTGAGGTTACCTGCCTCACGACTACCTCCGAATGACCGGTTGAACGACAAACCCCTAGAGAGCCCTAACCCAATAGAGGATCCGAACCAAAACGAAGCCGAAGTAGTGGAGACTTACGACGCAGCCGCGAACTGGAGACCAGAAGGGAAGACGATCATCTGAACGCTCCAGCGGACCAGGAACTCGCTCCGCTAGAACCTAACGAGTCCTTGGAGTTGAGGGGAGAGCACGAGGCAGAGGGCGAGGGCCGACCTAGTCGTAGACGGCGACCTCCTGTTCGCTTTGGGATTGATGAGTTCGAGCGGGGCTAACTCCAACACCAATCAGACAAACACTATTAAAACTTTCTTTCCCCGTTATACTTATTAGCTAGATAAATTAGGTTGTAGAAAAAAAAATTTAAAAATAGGGCACTCAAAAAAAAAAACATCTTTAATCAAATTAATGGTTATACTTTAATGGTTATAGGCTTTCCATATAATGCTCATTGTATTCGGTGCTACTATACTAGGGTGTGACCCCACCTCATGGATATCATTATTTCGTTTCAAACATTCATATCTATCTAAATGGATGAGGTTGGATCACACCGTGAGGAGTAACTTGATAGCAGTCATGTCCCCGAGTCAGATCAGCTGACCCCTCATTCATGATATAATCATACGTGCTTTTATTTGACGGGGACTGACTAGAGGTTTGCGATCACACGATACAATTTAGTGAGGGTCATTAAACACTTAATCAGGTTAATTTAGCGCAAGCTCAGGCTAATTCTTAGTATACAAGACTTTCGTGACCAGGCTTGCAGGTTAACCGACGAACATGACAGATTACAATCTTAAGTAAAGGCAACCGATTGATTGACGGGCCGTCGTGTCACCTCGATACGAACATCTGAACAGGTGAAGATAAGGGAAAAAGAGAACCACGAAGGCTGAAACCGTGCATTGTTACTACCAAAATTCAGTCGTTAAGAAACCTTCGAATTTTAATAAATTCTCTAAATTACAAAAGAAAAAAAAAGTCGCTAAAATGACAATTGTGTGGAGATCCTTCATCCTCCGAGCCTTCTTCACCATCCTAGACTACCAGGAAGAAGATGAGTATATAACTCTTTCACTGAAGAGTGGTGCCTCCCTGCACCTATTGGCATACACCGCCTCCTGGCATGAGTTCCGGTTGTTTCTGCGAAGGCAGGGTGCCCCACGGCCTTTCCGACACTACCCTAGAGTCGAAGAGACGGTGCCGGATGTGAGCACAGCTCTCTGGAAGTTCAATCCGGGGGAGCCCGACCTGGAGAGTTGCTCAACTGCGGGCCAATTTCATGTACATGAGCCAGCGCGGGACACGGCAACTGACACTTGCTCGACCGAGGGTCAACCGCCTTCGGAGAAGTCTGGGCGGGAGAGATTTCTCAGTTGGGAGAGTGATGAGGACTCTGCAAGCACCCACTCAATTTCCCTCTCCGACATAGCAAGGGCTAGGAGGAGGAGGCCGAGTGATAGGCCCAAAATTAGGGACCTCTTTGACGAAATCAGACATACCATTGGCGAGGAAGAATATCGGGCGCTCCAGGCCCAATGGGGAGAAGGGAATTGGTCAGACGAATATGACGAATCCTCAACCAATTCGGGGGCCGAAAGTTAGGAGAGGACAGTTTATAAACTCTCGCTAATAACCAAGGAATTTATAAAGGAAGGAACTGATTAAACTTATATCTCAAACTTAAACTTAACTATAGCTTATACCTAAATAAAGTATAGATTGTATATAGTCAGTAATTCAGTATTTAATGAAGAAAAAAAAGGGGAAGAGAAAAACCTAACATTATTCGGGAGAATAATAGACTAGAAGGGAAGACTGTATAATTGGTAATTCTAGCAAATTTTCGACTTAGCGTATTTTCTGCGCATTTTATCCTAACATGATAGTGAAAATATTAGTAAATTTGGTTCAAAATTGGGTTATGGTTAGTTTATTGGGGTCGTATGACTTTGTTGCTTGGGTCAAGATTTGACACCGAAGTCAGATGTTATTTAAGTAAGTAGCGAAGGGGGGATTTAATTGATAAGAATCATACGACTTCGGTACTTACCCGATTTACGATGCCAACCGCAGGGGGATGTATTTACAAAACGTGAACAAGTCGATAAAAAACCCGGACTTGGGACCCGTCAGCTTTGACAGGGGGAGTAGGTAAAAGGGAAAAACCATAGGGGGCAGTTGTGATTAAGGGGATGACAGCACCGATATGAAGTGGCGTGACATTAACAAAAACGGAGCACAAATAGAGATAAGAAGAAGTGGAGGTTAGAGATCGGATTTTAAAAGAGAACGAGTTAACGAGCGTAAGATTCAGTAGGTCCCAGTTGTGGTCGCTATCTGAACTCATCTGTTAATTGTTTCACAGCGAGTGAAGTAAGAACGTAAGTCGAAGTGCCTTGTGGAAAATTAGTTAGAGCAGAAGTTAGTACAAGTCAGAGAGCTTAGTCGACACGTGTACTGACCGAGTACGTAGAGAAGAAATTGTTAAGTGTGTACAGATCGCAAACCATTCTGTTGTATATTACTAAATTATATGCTGGCCGAATTAGTAGGCCCTTTGTATTCATTCAGACTTATACATATATTGAATTCATTTGAGAGAAAGGAATTCGTTATACGCGACTTCAAGCGAGATATAGCAAGCAAGAGCATCACTGACTAAGGGGGAGCAATAGAATAGAGTAGAGGACAACTCACCACTAAAAATAACCCTTTCGGGATTGTCGTTAATACCGAGCCTTAGTGCCCCCCTGCTTTAGCACGGTAAAAGGGATAGCTTCGCAAGACTGTGTGTGAAAATCCTAAAGACGACACAGCTGCAAAATTTTGCCTAGCTGCAAAATATATTTTTGCAGCGAGGCAAAAATATATTTAAAAATATCAGCCTTATAAGAAATACATCAGTGGTTCGAAGCCCCTCAGGGTCTATGCCAGTTTACTATGGCGGCAGTGGATTAGAGTGGCTATAGTGTGTAGCATTAGTGAAATTGTGTGGATAGCATGGACAGTTGTGATGGATGATGATGAATTTGATGACTCACCTCCGTATTGTGGTCGGAGTCTGCGGTCGTAATTGGCCAGCAGTTTGCTCAGAATGTCTGACACTGGATGTCTGAAACACACACATAGCATACAACACAATGTGTGAGCAGTTGAGTTAAGAATGAACAGTTGGCTCATTATGAAGATGGGTGGTACAATTAAACAAATGCAGCTAACGGCATAAACTTAAAGTCATGAAACTGTTTCTCTCAAAGCCTCAAACTCATTGTCATTTTCATAGTCCTTATCAGCCAATGACTAAAAAAACAGAGTCAAACCGATATAACAACAGACCTGAAAACTTGCCCACAGGATTGGGGCGGGGCGGGTGAATAACCGGGAATTCATCACCCAAAGTGCCGACCCACCCCTTGCCCTTCTTGTACTGTCTGGTCATATCCATTTTTGGGCAAACAATTTCAAAGCATTTAAGTTCACCATTAAATAAAAAATTTGAAAATTTAAGAAAAGAAATTTATGAAACGCTTTGATAACAACTATTCTTGGATTGAAAAACATTTTATTAGAAGTTCTAGAAGTGCCCTAATTTAGAGACCTTAAAATTCATATGCACTTTGGAGCACCTTAATTTTTGATTTTACATGCGAGAGGGCATTATTACAAAAGGATGTTAATTGATGTTCACTCTCGCATGTTTAGTTTTTAACATTTTATGGAAACAAGCTGTCACACTTCTATGCTTTCAACGTTTTCAACCCTCCCATATCTCGGATGGCAAATAAATCTACTAATATCAAAAATGGCTGTAGGTTTTTACAAGCATATTCCTGTCTTTTTGTCCAACTTTCCAGCCAAAAGTTCGTCAGAGTTGATCACACACTCGAGAATAATTAATTGTGTATAATTTTGAATAATCAGATCTGAAAGTTTCATTTAATTACAAACAAGGATAGCTAAGTGCTGAGTAAAGTAGGACAGAAAGTTACGACCGCACTGATTTATGAATTTAAAAAAATCAAGTACGTATAGAAATAAGACGGTATAGAAACAAGTTCGTATCAGTTCCCTGAATGTTCCGACTGCCCTTTAATTGGTCTAGATTTTTTAACTTAATTAAATATTGGCAAAACTATTAATTTTAGGCTGATAATATCAACTTTTAAGTATTAAAACTTCAGTCATGTATGGAAATAAAAAGACCAACAAGACCTGTATATTCCGACTGCTTTTTAAGGTCTATGGAGCACTAACAACATGAAAAAAGAAAAAAAGTACAAAAAAAATGAAACTAATAAAAAAAATTAGATCTTTTGTGAAATCATCCCCCCACACGCCATATAAAATACATATGATAGGTTTCGCTCTTAGTACCAAATCAACTATGCCAAATTGGCTTCCTTCAACCAGTTTGGAACGATTTTCAAGACGGATGAAATCTCCATTTATTGCGCCGCGTTAATGGTCCCAAATTGGCTAAAATGGCAAACTTCAAACCCCCATAACTTTGCAAAAAATGATTTTAAAAAAAAATCTTTTTGAATGATATAAAAAAGTCCGTCAAAAATGGCTAGTTAAAAAGTCGAAATTTGTCCGAGGAAAGAAAACTCACACAAGCGCAAATATTCCGTTACTTTCGTTACGAAAGTCTGAACAAGACTGCTTGTATCAAGGCGAAGCCCTGAGTGTTCCGACTGCCTATTAAGGTTTATGGAGCAGTAATAACATTACAAAATTGAAAGTAATAAAACAAAATGAAAATTTGTTTTTCTAAAATTTGAAATTTTTTTAATCAAAATCATCCCCCCACACGCCATATAAAGTACAAAAGGATAGATTCCGCTACTTGTAACAAATCAATTATGGCAAATAAACTTCGTTAAACCAATTTGGAACGACTTCTAAGACGGATTAACTCTCCGCTTACGCGTTAATAGCGCGAAATATATCGCGCGTTAATTGTCCCAAATTGGCAAAAATGGCAATCTTTAAACCCCCATAATTTTACGAAAAATGATCACAGGTGAAATTTCTTTTCAAATTTGAGCTCAGGACAACAATACCTTTCCAATGATATAAAAAAATTCCGTCAAAAATGGCTAGTTAAAAAGTCGAAATTTGTCTGAAGAAAAAAAAACCCACCCCGAGCACAAATATTCCGTTACATTCGTATCGAAAGTCGGAACAACAATTAGCTTTTTGCGTCAAGTCATTTTGGAACGATTATGTAGCGCGGGATATAAAACGAGCAGCTTAGAAAAGCAAAATCGTGGCGGTCTGTCTTAGTTTAGTTAGACAGACTGATGCTATAGTGGTGTGCACACTGAGCTGGGCGACGAGTATCAAGAAATAGATCACCTTAAGGAGTCCAAAGTTTTGTGAAATGGATCTGAAAAAATTCCTCGAGCGTATATATTCCCTTTTTTTGAAATTTTAGAAAAAAATATTGAAATTTTTTTCTAAATTTTTGTATGTTTTTTCTAGTCAAAAACAACTGACGTAAATGCAAAACTGCAAGGGTGAGAATTATTATCGATTAAACAATCTTGAAATTTTAGGGCTAAACTAATGTTAAAAATGTTGTGGGAGGCCAGCTTCTCATCAACTTTGGTGGAATTTAGTCCAAAAATTGAAATTATTCACATCACTTTTCTCGAAACCTCGATAACTTTTTTATGTGTGTAAAATCGCGATCACAACCAAAAAATTTTATGATACCATTTATTAGGTAATCAAAATGGACTAGAAAAAACGGCATATGGCATAGTTCTTTCCAGTCATTTTCAAATACTGACTGGAAATTTTCTTATTTTAAAGTTTCAGCACCATGGCTGCACATAGAATTGGGTATCATTTAGCAATAAAGACCAAGTAGTGGCTATGCTTTAAGTACTTTGAACCAAACTAAGTGTTTTCAAGTCGCTACAACAGAATAGTCGCAGAAGGATTAGCTTTGAAATGCGGTACAAATTTTTCTAATGATTAGAAACTGATAGCGTCAATTTATGAAAAAACATGTGTTATACACATAGCATGCTTCGTATTTTTCATACACAAGTTTTTGTTCCAAATAACAATTCATAATGTAATATTCAAAATCGCAAGGGTTCTTGATGCTCCTGGTCATGCCAAGCATTGCAAGATTTTTTTTGGCAAATCGAATAAAATTGAAAACCAAATAGAGAAATCGCAGCCAATAGAGAATAAAAAAAAATTCCAATAAACCGGGGTCAATTTAGGACAACTTAGGTGCGATATATTTTCTTCTAGAACGCATCAGCGGCAGAAAAATCCGGCTCAGAAGTCATTCCAAAATGAATTGAACAAAATATTCGTTCTAATTCTTATGTTACTATGGGCAAAACATATCACTTTGTATTTATATAGCGTATGGGGGATGATGTTCAAAGAAACACTATAAAAAGTCATAACAAAAAATTGTGAAAACTTTTTTTGTTAAACTTTCACATTTTGAAAAGTTCACGATTCCATAGACGTTAAAGTCAGTCTAAGCATTCAGCGTTCTGCCTTGATAAAAGCAAAATGGTTTTTTTTGAATGCAACGGGTGAGCAGCGGATACGCACGCAAAAATGCACCAGCAATTTCAGTGAGGCACCATGAGTGTTTCAACTGATTCATTTACAGATGGTGAGTATTGTTGTTTTTTGAAGTGATATATTTTTAAGACCTGTTCGACTGTTTAGCTAACAATTTTCTGATAATTTTTTCCACGATTCTGAGTACTTTGATATACTGAACATACATTTAGAAAATCAAGCTGCGTTTGATTAATTTTTAGTTTTGAGGGTTTGAAAATGACTTTTTTTCAATTTGGTATAATTAATGCTCACGAAATTCAAAAACTTTGTTCTCTTGTATTTTGAAGATTTGCGACTGTAGAAAAGGCTACGTTGACATTTCTTAGCCACTTCGGAGTTTCTTTTTAATACGAGCAGTTTTATAGTACTTGGCGTTGCGGGGGATTTTTGAGGAAAAAACTTAGAAATCTTGTCCGATTTTTGCATTAGTAAAATCACTTGGTTTAGTTGATAGGATAGTGGGAACTTTTGAGGTTTTCCTCAAGAATTTTTATATATCCTAAGAAGGATGATACTTGTTAAAGCTCTTGGAAAGCTCTTGAGAGGGTCATTTACTTGACTGGTCAACCGAGAAAGCGAGCGTTGACTTAAGCGATCCAGTAAAAAGCTATACATGCTATATTTGTCAAAAATGGAAAACAATCCATTGTTAATTATTTTAGAACAAAAAAGGACAAGAGACCATGAAGAGACAAGCATGCTCATGTAGTTTTTCACGGCACGCTTCATAGAACAAGCTGAACACATTTTTGCCGTTTTAGTCAGAAAAACTGAACAAATCACTGTTGTTCAATAAAAAGCAGTCAATCAACATGAAGTTTAAAAGTCAACCAGAAAAAGTCACGGTAAACAATTTTTTTTTCAGTCGATATTCCGTCTTCAATTTTGTCTTTTGGGGCGCCAAAGTCAAGACAGCGGGCATAATTGAAGACGAGGGCAAACATTAAGTGGGGAAAGTCTCCTTTGCTGTAAAATATTTACGATTTTCAGATTGAAATTTGAGGGAATATTATGTGAGCGGGTGACTGTGTAAACAAGAACAAATCAGACGTTTGCATTTGGTGGGATTTTAAGGCGATATGTTTTATTTAGTACATGCATGTACACTATTAGAAGTATCCTGGATCTTCTAATAACAACCGAGTGTGGTGTATCGAACTGCTTAAATATGTTTATTTTTTTTTGTTTTTTTAAAATGTGTACAACTAAAGCAACGCAATGTAGACTGAAAAGATGCAATGAACACATTGGACGACGTGTATCGTCTCTTCTCATATTTTTGTTTGAAAGCATTTTTACCAAATAAACTTTGTTAAAAAACGGTAGTGTAGCATAATACTTATAATTAATTTATGTCGCACAAAATTACAAAGTGTTTAGAATTAAAATGGCATTCTTTTGGACAAACATGTTTTATTAAAAAGGGGAGGAGCTGATTTGCTCCTTAGTGGCATCTGGCGCGCACTTCCGGCATTGCTTATGAAATGGAACTTACAAATACTCTAATCGAAG